ATATATATATATATATATATATATAATCAAATGATACCTTGAGAATAATCTCTAAGTATCTAAATACCTAATACAAAAGAGATGTGTCCAAGATTTTTCGTAATTGTTAGAGTTTTCTTGATTTCGCACAACAATCATATATCATTGTTGACTAAATAAAATCGACACATTAAACTAGGAATATAAACTTACTCTCACTGAACTTGTAAAATCCAATCATTTTTCATAATAAAAATCTCAAAACCAAACGAGACAATTACCTTATGAAATATTGTGGTATCACTAATGAGACAATTTCATTAACTTATAAATGGACTTTATCTGTTTTGAAACCATAAACTTTGTATCTATTGATACAAAATTTTCTCCCGTTGCACCATATTGTTTTTCTTAATGTCACCATTAAGAAACACTAACTTGCTATCCATCTTACGAAGCTCCAAAATTATAACAAGTAACAAGTGTTACAATTATCATAATAGTGTCTTTCAATAATCCTAAATATAACTTATCTTTTTAGTCAATTCTTTATGACACTTGATACTCTAGTTCTTGAGAATTTTGAGTTTGATCTTCAAGGATTGATTTCTTATTTTAATTGAGAAAGAACAATAATATCGGCATGAGGGTCCAAATTTGCTATATAAATAGCAACTATATGAATTGAGTTAGAATCAATTCTTTCTCACACAATTTTGTTCTTTGAACATATCTCTCCCCCAAATTTATTATTCTCGAGACACATTATAATATTTGTCTCAAAAGATTATTTAACTTGGGACTAAAGTTTATATTTCTCAAACTTTTCAATAATTCTAAAAGACAAATTGAATTCATCATTTAAAAAAAGAAGAAGTTATAATATTAAAATAAAACTTTATTCATCCACCAAATTGTCTTTTAAATACAAATTTAAGTTTATAATGGTAATCTAAAATAGTTAAAAGTAAATAAAAAATATCAATCTTCACCAAATTTGTTCCCTTTAAATTGACGTATCTTTCAACACCATTGAACATTTGTCAATTCATATCATATTTTCTTATTATTCTTTATTTGTCCTTAGTCTTTGAGATATTTATCAAATGAGCAATATTTTATTTTCTCTTGCTTTATTCATTCCTTTATTGCATACTTTATGAAATTATTCTCTTAAAGAATAATTTCTAGCTTTAATAGTTATAAACTTAATTGTGCAAAGAGAATATCATATGCTAAATTTTCGAGAAAGTCACCTAATTGACGAAACTATAGCGCTTTAGCAAGACTAAATAGTTTCACAATATACTTATGATATTTTATTTTCTTAATAATCTTAATGAAAAGTCATCACTCCAATGAGAGTTTGTCTTTCACTTTATTACTCTAAAAGCACTAG